TCCTCCACGACCTCTCGCCCTTGAAGTCACACACAGTCTCATCACGCAGGTTGCATCATCGGAGCCTCTACGACGCAACAACGAGCCACCCTGAAGCCCCTGGAGACAGCAAAGATGTTTTATGCACCAGAGGCAAGCAACTTTTCTCAGTGGGGTATTTTCACATTGGAAGGTCCCCCACCTGTGCCACCCACAGCACTTCAGAGGGATGGAAGATGAGTCACAGCATGCTGGGACCATGAGCAGGGCTGGGAATCCACCCTTGACCCAGCAGTGTGAACCTCTGAGAAGCCACAACACCCTGAACCTGCGGCGGAACATTCCGGAAGTTCCAGGAGAGCACATCTCCCAGCCACAGAAGCCCCACCCTCTTCTCCCACTCTTTATCCTCCCTCCCACCCCCGCATCCGTATGACAGTCAGTCTCATTAAGGGGCACCCAGACCTGAGAGAGGTTCAGGAGGAAACCACAACCCCTACCTGAGCTTCCCGCACAGCCCCAGAAAGGGAAGGGGGTGACCACAGCCCCAGGGATGCAGACACCTGGCCACAGGGGAACGAATGCTCTAGACCCACAGATGATGTCAGGCTGACGTGGACGCAGACTGGAGCAGGAGGGACGCAGGTAAGGGAGAAGAAAGGACTCTCTGAGGAGTCTACAGAGAGAAAAAAAACCTTTTCTGGAGGAATCTCAAATCAAATAGAAACACATCTGCCAAGAATGGCGAGGAGGCCATTCTCAGTACAAGGAGAATGGACTAAAAAAGGACCAGAATGGTCTCTCTCAATCCTAGCTCAGCACCTACAGAAGGAAGGTGCCAGAGTCCTCTGTAATCCCCCTTGGCCAGATGGTAGTGTCCTGTTCCCTCCTCTCTTCTACACAATCAATCTCAAAAGGACAACCAATAAACAATGAATTAATGAATCACTGAATCAATGAATCGATGGCTTCAGATTTCCTATTCTAGTACCAACTTCTAGGCCTAAAAATATCTAAATTGTCCTAAGAAATTCAAGATAGACAATAGCTCTCCTGTGCATGCATTTAGAGCTTTGCAATTTCTGAAATGCCTGTGATTCACTAAGTACCTCCTTAGACAGAGAGTGGGCACAGGGATTTACCCACGTCCCCATCAAAATCCAGTGACGGGTAAAGCCAGACCCTTGCATGCATTTAGAGCTTTGCAATTTCTGAAATGCCTGTGATTCACTAAGTACCTCCTTAGAGAGAGAGTGGGCACAGGGATTTACCCACGTCCCCATCAAAATCCAGTGACGGGTAAAGCCAGACCCCGCCATGGATCCTAGCATTCCCAGACGTCCTCCCGCTGTGTCTCAGGCTCTGAGCACCTGGGGACCCTGCAGAGCCAACCTGCTGCCTTGCTAACTGGCGGGACAATCCCTGCCCCATACAGTAAGTTGATCTAAAGCTCAAGATAAAAACCACTTTCACATGTGTCAGGCTGAGATCAGCCGCAGCAGGCCAGAAGCCAAGGAAGAGTGTGTTGTCTGCTATGGTGTTTGGGGAAAGGAACGCTTCTGATTTGCTAGTGGAAGCTGGCAGCGGGTACATCAGTCCTCAGGCACACAGAGGCACCGTGACCCATGAAGCCTCCTGAGCCTGTAATTGTAATATTTTATATTCCATTATTTGTCATTTACGTCTGTCCTTTAAAAACGGTGGAGCCCGCAGCACTCACTGTAACATGTGGCCCTGCCACGTTGACAGAAGGTGCTCCCGGCCCAGAAATGCTTTGTTTACAGCAAGATGACCAGGATCACATTTGAGAAGGCGGGGAAAGAGATTTCACACAGCTGACAACACTACGCTTTTTTTAATATTTCAAATTTAGGTGACATTGTCATCAATCTCCCGAAGCTATTTACTCCCTGCCCTTAAAAGTCCGTTGAAAACAGTCTTCAGTGGTTTTAGTTCTGCCCATTAAGAGTTAGTTCACTCTGGGAGCTGAATGGAGTCATTTGTGCCTCAACTATCAATTGAGGCTCTGGGTAAGCCAGCGAGCGACTGGACCCAAAAGCTGTAAATACGTTCATGTGCTTGGACACAGTGATACCCTGCTGGGAATTCAGCTAAGGACATAAAACTCCTATATAAAAGACACATGTATACATATATCTAGACAAAAAAAAAGACTGGGTGGATATGTGCCAAAAAATTACCATTAATGCCTCTGAGTTGTGAACAATAGATGACTTATTTTTTCGTTAGGATCTGTTGTCTTTTTTTTCTAGACTTCCTACAAACACTATGTGTCTCTTTTGAGAATTAAAATATCAAGAGATTGATGGATAGATATAGACAGACAGATGGACAGATAATACATATGTCTCCCTTTCTTTTTTCCCTTCCTTCTTTCCTTCCTTCTCACTGGGATAAAGCAGGGCACAGGCTTCTGAAAAAGACAGGGTAGGCGGGAGCAGTGTCAGAAATCATCTGCCGGGCTCTATTCTGCTGCTCCAAGACGGGACGGGGGAGGAGCTCTCCTCATGTCCTCTGTCCCCGTCCTGTGCTGCTTGCTCCAGGCTACCCTCCAGCAGGGGCAGGTGAATAGCCATGGCCGCATCATGCCCAGTCCCAGAGCCCTGAGAAGGACACACACAATGGCCCCAGGGTCTTGGTTTCCAGAGAGATGGGGTAAAATTAGGGACCCAGAAGGGTTCAGCTCTTTAGCACCAAGATGCAGCCGAGCACCTACAGGACACCTCAGATGGCTGCTTTAGTCATTTATTCTCTCATTTGTCGAGCAGCTACGACTGGTTGGGCACATCTGACCTGGATTTGGATAGTGAGATCTCACCAGAATGGTGACAAAAGGGAGGGCCTCCCAGCCTGCAGAATAGCATTGGTGAAGACACAGAAGCCCAGGAAAGGAGAATATTTTCAGAGACCAGCAGGCTTTCCTTCTATAGGGTACACTGGGGTTGGGGGCTACGGGAGAAGCTTCTGGAGAGAAAAGGGTCAGCCATAGAGGCACTCACATGGGGCCAAGCCAGGGGTCATGGAGCCTGAGGTTTGTGCAGTTGGGGGGACGGGCCCTTAAAGGAGGGGAAACAAAAAATATCTTCCTTTTTGCAAAGTTTGTGAGAACAAGCGGCCGTGTGAACACCTGCCCAGGCCCCTCCCAGGCCGGCAGCAGGCGCCACCTGTGCCTCCCAGCATGTCCAGCTCTGCATCATGTGTACTGCTGCGGGTGAGGTGTCTTGAGGAAAAGAGTGACATGGTGATGTCTACATTCTAGAGAAACAACTTATAACTGTGCATGGCCATCAGTTCCCATTGGCCAGAGCAGAATGTGCTCTTGGCACAAGAGGCAGTTGTGCACCCAGATGGACAGCTGCATCTCAGACACCTGTCTGCCAGGCACGGTGGTGCCCCGCACAGCTGGGCACAAGGGAAAGAGCAGCCCTGTCGCCAGCCTTCTTCCTGCCCTCCCCAGGGTGCGTCCCGGAGTGAAATGCACCCACTCAGCACTGTCAAGGGATGGTGTCCTGGCCAGACCCTCCCGGGAGAGTGCTCCAGGCAGCCGATGACACTGCAGACAGCCATAGTCACCGGCTGCAGAGATGGCCTGAACAGTGAGTAGCTCAGCTCCATCTATGTCCAGCCTGAGCTTCCTCTTTGCTCTCTGTCTCCCCTGGGCTGTGACAAGCACCCCGACTTTCCACACAGTCCATCGAGCACTGAGGGCCCACGATGTGTTGCTACCCACATTCATAAACGCGCAGAAGAGGGTGTGCTCGGTCTTTCTCATGATTAGCTCAAAAGGAAGGAAAAAACATCGCCTTAAGTAAGCAAATAATTGAGCAGAATTTGTGTTCTGTCTTCAGACTGCCCAGTGGTCACCTCACCCCACTTTACAAGCATAGGGTCATCCAAAGAGAAACTGGTTCTTTGCATTTTCTCTCAGTGTCAATGACAACAACACCGTCTCCAGTGTGTAAAATCAGAATTTATCTCTTTACTGTAACCCATATAGTAAAATTGGACTGCACGTAATCTCGTGCCATGGTGAAGCCCTGAGTCTGACTGGCTGCCACGGCCAACAAACGCCCCTGGCCAGGGGCTGGAACCAGCCTCCACCGCCAAGCGGGCCGGGCCATGCTCCTCCACCCATGCCAGGCCTCAGTGTCCCCGCTGCACAATGGAGTGGGTGGATGACGGGCCCAACTGGGGCTGTGGATGAGAAATAGCCCATAAAACTTTCTGTAAAGCTGCTTACACCTATAAAGTGCTATTAAAGTAATGACTATAGATTACAATCAAAACTGGAGGATGGGCACCTGCCCATGTGGCCTCCCGAGACCCACCCCCCGGGCCCAGAGGGCCTGGGAAACACACAGCTGCCCTGGACTCGAGCGAGTCGCAAGAGCTCCACCATGGAGAGAAGCCAGACAGAGGCGACTGCGCAGGCACTGGGTAGTCGCCAGCCTTCAGCAGGGAACCCTGAACCTCACAAGGTGTCACACGCTTCCATTGTCGCCTTGTGTGCACCCCAACTTTCCACATGGTCCATCGTGTGTTGAGGGCCGTTGATGTGTTCCTATACCGCATCCGTAAACACACAGAAAAGAGGACAAGTTCGGTCTTTTTCAAGAACAGTTCAAAATGGATGAAAAAATGCACTAGCCTTTAGTAAGCAAATAATTGAGCAGAACTTGCGTTCTGTCTTCAGACAGCCTGGTGGTCACCTCACCCCACTTTACAAGCGTAAGGTCATCCCAAGGAGAAATTGGTCTTCACATTGATACGGTATTTTTTTTTTCAGTGTCAGTGATAACAACACTGTCTCCAGTGTGTAAAACTGGGACTTATCTCTTTACCATAATTCATACAATAAAATAAACCACTCCTACAAGGTAACAACTTTTTAAAATAGAAAAGCCATAGCAGAAAACATTTTGACCAACATTACAAGTAGCACTGGACGTCCTATTTATGGCTTGCTTAAAAAATTTTTGCAAAACTACATCTCAAACATGAATGGTCATCATACAAAAACATTTATTTAAATATTTTCAACAAATCATTATCTACAACCATTCCAAAACATGTGTAGTTCTTACAAAAAAGAAAAGAAAGAAATGGAACAGTTTAGCTTAATGTCTGTGACACTGTTACACAGGATCATTAATACACATTCTGGACTGTGCACCCGTCAAGCACATCATCAACCATTTACTACTTATTACCAAAAGGCATATACAGTAACAGAATAAAGATTAATCATATCTCATAGGCGATTTTACAATAAGACTTCTTGGAAGGAAAAGAAGGATTTGTCAATAATGCAAAACAGAAGGGGAAAGTAATAGGAGACTACATAAAACACATTTCATACAGGCAATAATATGTGAAAACAGAAAACAAGTGGCTGTCTTAGCTCACTGTGAGCCATGTTCCTTCCAACGAGGTCTGGGGAAGAACGGGAGTGTTTGGGGGCAGGGCCAGCATGGCACAGAAGCACCTGCAGACTATCAGTGTGTGTCTGATGGGGGAAGCCTGTGTAATAAAGCTGCCAAGGGAACCAGAGGCTTGGGAGGGAAACGAACTCCCCTCGCAGCCAGGTAAGTCATGCTTGGGATTTTAAGTCAGGGGCTCTTTGAATAAGGACCAATTCAGGGGTAGAGGGAGAGCCAGGAAAAAGAGAAAAAGAAATCCCAGGAAAGAGAGAAAGGTGCTGGAGAGGCTGGGAAGGGAGCTCCTTTTGAGTCTACAGAAAGGAAGGTATGCTGGAATTTTGCTCAAGAAATCGGTACATCCAGGTGAGGGCAGTGATGCTGCTCTGTCGCAAAGTCCTTTTAGGTACCCTGGCTCTTTGGGCCACTGGGAACAGGGAGTTGGTGAGAAGCTGCCATCATTAATAAGAACATCTGATTTAGGCTGTGCAGACAGAGGTGATTAAGGGTGGCATGGGGGGGTGTCTCTCACACGCCCACCGTACATATTCAGACTGTGCATATTCTTTTGAAGTGTGTGTGTCATGAAAAAGAACTTATCTAAAAAATATATTTTTTTTAAAAGTTAGAATTCAATCTTATTTTCAGTGATGAAGTCAACCGTAGTGATTAATTTCCCAAATTTCCCAAATCAGGATGAGTGTTTTTTCTCAAACTGGAAAGCAGTCTTTTTGGAATTCTATGGTGATTTTGGGAGGGAGTGCAGAAAGCCTCATGTCCTTGGGCCGTGCACATGAAATTATCACCAGGTTGTACGTTAACGAGCTCATTAATGAGTCAAATTTCCCCTCTTCTGTTAGTTAGTCTTGAGAGAATCCTAAATCAGAAACTCTGGAACAGGAGGGAGCTTGGCTCTCAAGTCTGTTCCTCCCTTTACAGATAGGGGACGGCTGGGAGGGAGCAGGGATGTGGTGGGGTTTCACCAGCACATGTAGCAGAACTGGGCCTGGACCCCGGCAGCCTGGATCCTGGCCCAGGGCTCTTTTCACCTGGGGGACCCAAAGACCAGGTGTGGCTGTGTCAAAAACCAGGAGGGTTTGGAAAACTGCTGGGCTTTTCACCATTGGTTTCAGTGATGGGGCCGAGGAAGAGTTCAGTGAAAATCCTGCGGGGAAGCAGCACCTCTCAGCAAGCAGAAGGCCCTGTTCCCAGTGTAGCCAGTGAAAACCCATTCCAAGGAATATACTCAAAACGCAGGTGGCAGGGAGGGGAACGGGGGGATGGGGGGTGGAGGGGCACTGGGATCAGCCCAGCACACCCGGCTTCAGGACGGAGTTGCTGGGCGGCAGTTCAGACCTCCCCGCCTGGCTGGCAGCACCGCGCGGTCTCCGCTCTGCTTGATGCTCAGGAAGGCGAGGGCGCCTCTGGCTCTAAGACACACTGTAGCTGTTGTAGTACGTGGCTGTGGCATCAGCCAGCACAGAGATGAGGCTGGTCTCCGTGGGACCCCTTGGTGGCACCTGGGAAACTGGGGTATGCCCACTGAGGGCCACCGCCCCAGTGGCAGAGTCTGGATGGCCAGGAGCGTTCAAATACTGGTCAAATTCATTGCGATCCATGTCCCCCAGGAGTTCCACCTGGCTCAGCTGATCCAGGGCATCGAAGCCAGGATGCTCGGGAGGTGGGGAAGGCTGGCCCAGGTGGGCATGGAGGTTGGAATGCAGAGAGTGGTAGGTGGCAGGGGAGTAATAGGCAGGAGACGGGGGACAGCTAGCTACAGTGGACATCACAGAGACACCTGGAGACTGGCCCAGGGCTAGGGAGCCCAGGGGGTGGCTGCAGTGGAGGGGGCTGGGGGCATACTCGGGTGAGTAAGGGGGCCCTGGCAGGTGGGGGATGCGGTGGGGGTGGGCATGCTCCTCCTGGCAGGGGGAGGAGAAGAAGGTCTGCTCGGGCTCCAGCAAGTCCAGGGGAGACATCTCCGGGGGCGTGGGCAGCCCATATGGGTACGTGTCCACACTGCCCGGAGCACGGCTGCTGCCAGCAGGCCCCTCATGGTAGCAGCCCCGGAGGCCAGGTAGGGCGGTGCCCGGGGAGTACTCACCCCTGTCCTCCTTCTCCCCCAGCGCCCCCCGGCCGCTGCTGCTCTTCTCCGGCAGGGCGTTCTGGTCTCGGGACAGGGAGCTCAGGAGGAAGCCAGGGTCCACGCGCTTGCAGAGGCGCTTGGCCTGCTTCTTCCTGCGCGGCCGGTACTTATAGTTGGGGTAGTCCTGCATGTGCTGCAGGCGCAGCCGCTCCGCCTCATCCACGTACGGCCTCTTCTGCGACAGTGTCAGTGCCTTCCATGACTTTCCTGCTCACACAAGCCAGAGAAGGCTGCACTCAGCACGGGTGCAGCTGGGTGGCAAGGGCACCGGTCCCAGCCTCGGGCTCCCAGCATTGCTGCAGCCCTGGTGCTTCATCACCATGCCACCTGCCCTTCCCCCTCTCATGGCCACGGAGGTCAAGGGCACGCCTCGCACCCTCTTCCCAGCCCCAATCCTGCAGCAAAGGGGAGGCTAAGCCAGCCTCTCCTGCCTGCACCCCACCCAGTAGTCAACGTACAGTGCACCTAGACAGAGAAGCATCTCTCTCATAGAGAATGCTACAAACAGTGTGGGATTCACAGCCAAAGGCCACCTGAGCCAAGGTCGCCACAGGAAAAAAATATCAACGACAACATTGTCTGGGGCTTTTTTTACCCTTCTGGGGTCAATTCTAATCATTTGAGCATTTTCATGAAAATTCTCTAAGGCTGGCTGGTTAGCTCAGTTGGTTGGAGCAGTGTGCTGATAACACTAAGGACCAGGGTTCAATCCCTGTACTGGTCAGCTGCCAAAAATATTCAAAAATTAAAAAGAATTCCCTGCCTCCGTTGTAACTCTTACAAAGTGGTACTATAGTATTTACTTATGGGGTAAATCTCACAGCCCTGTGAGGGAACTCAGGCTCAGTCAATAGTTTCACAGATGTAAGTTATAGGATCTCACTTGCCTCTAAAGGTCAAATAGGACCTGCTGTATGAAGACCTGACCATGGCCAGAATGCTAGCATCTGCCTGCAACACATGTAGGCACATGAGCACTCACACATGCACATATCAGCCACCACTTCCAGCCATCCGCTTAGGACCCTTTGGCTGTGGCATGGCACCTGCTCAGCCAGTGACTTTCCATACAGAAGCAAATCCTCAACTTCCCTGGGTCCCTATTTTCCTCACTATAAAATATACTGTGACACCACCCAACTTAAAACTATCTCTTTAAGAAGCTTCCCACGCTCGTAACCACTGGCGCTAACATGCCAGTGCACTTGACTCCTATGCACCCTCCCAGTGTCTGCTGTTTGCAATCACCTCAGTGTCCCTCCTTCATCTCTCACACTGCACATCCTCCAGCTGCAGTGTGGTCTGCCAGTCACTTCTGGACCCCTTGGATCGCTACCTCCCAGGGTGCACTCAGGATTCTACAACTTTACCATGTTCTCCTGTGACTCTAATGTATCCTGGAGGTTGAGACCCACCAGTTGGAGGTCAAGGCCTCTGGCTCAGCCCTATGAGAAAGGAGCCATGTCTTCCACCTGGTGTGCTCTGCCCAGGGCCCAGCAGAGCCATGCACACAGCAGGCCTTGGTGCCCACAGGGGCTGGCTCCTCGGGCCAGACCCTCAAAGCAAGCTGAGGGCTTGAGGAGGGCACTTATTAAAGGCCTTTTGCCACTTGGGTAAAAGTTTGTAACTACTTTGTGGAGTCAAAAAATGAGCGTAATTAGCTGTCACTTAAAACGTTGACTTGAAAATTGTTAAGAACTCTGGGTTCAGGGCTGGTCACTGGTTTCCAGCTTGTGGCTATGCCTACACAGCTGTTGAAGAGGCCCAAGATCGAGATGTGCCCCACTCCCCGTCTGTGGTCCTCAAGTAAAACATGACTCTAGTTTCTAAATGTACCTGGATGTTGTAGTATTAATAAAATAAAGTTCATTTTTAAATGCTACCAAATGTCTAATTAATTGCTACCAAATATCTACTCATAGGTCAGAAAGGAAGGGCTGAGAAAGAAAGATCACAGGGGTGGAAGTTGACTAGCCTGCTGCCCCGATAACAGGTTTACAAAGCCCATATTTTAAAAAGAACACCGCGTTGGTTTCCCTTGCCAGTGTTAGGCTGTGTGACTAGGTGGGCAGGAATCTGTGTCTTTCCTGCACGATGAACTGTAACCTCGTGAAGCCTAGCTGGGAGTCCCCAACAGGGATCAGCTCACAGGAAGCATTTATCCTGAAGTCCTTTTGCCTGTCCTTTTTCTGGAAGCAGGCAGGCTCAGTTCCTCAGGACAAGGCTCCCCACCTCTCCTCTTCTCCCACCTGGCTTGGGCAGGTAGCAGAAACCCTGCCGTGTCCTGGTCACAAGCAGGAGTTCCTTTCCTCAGTTGCACCTGGTCAATAGGCATAGTGCCCAGGGTCCACAGAGGCAAAAAACTTTCAGGAATCCACACACACACACACAAAAAAAAGATTTCATTTCCTTTAAAATCTGAAGAAAAAATATGAACTTTGAGGTAATAAAAAAAGTTTTATTATTGTACATATTAACATATTTGCCTATATGCTGATACCATATAAAATATGAATTTTACTATTTGTTATGGGATAAGGGGCCCAGGCAGGTGTCTTCAGCACAGCCAGCTATAGGCTGGGCTGTGGGCAGGAGGCCCTCCGAAACCAGTGCTCCCCACGCTGCTTTGCACGGGTGTCTAAACTGCAGGAGAGCTCAGGACGCTCTCTTCGGGCTTTTGGCTTTAGCCAGTGAAAGAGGCACAGCCCTCACTCCAGGGTTCCGCTCGGGAAGGAGCCTGGAGTTCAGACGGAAAAGGAAGGGCCCTATTCCGGCCGGGTGGGGCTGCGGAGGGTAGGGCCAGCCCAGGGTGACCACGCACGTCCCTTCGCACGGGGCCTGGCGCCCGCTGCATGCACAGAGTTCTTTGAAAGGTTTTCACCGCTTAAAATGAATAAAAACCACGTCGAAGGGCAAAGACGTTGGGGGTAAACCAGGACAGAAAAGTGCTCAGCTCCAAAAATCAGAGAGAAAGGAAACGCGACGCGAACTCGCAACTCAGGTTTTTCGGACATGTCCTAACATCCTCACTCTGGGCTCCTCCGACCCGGCCAGTCCCTGTCCCCAGCCCTTATGTCTGCTCCCAGCACACAGGAGGCGGCCGGGCTGCAGGACAGACCCTCCCTGGCTGATCCACAGTCCTGAGCTTGGGAAGTGGACGAGCCTCGAGTTTCCTGCTGTTTAATGATCAAGTTAAAGACAGTAGGATTCGTTCCCCACGGTCTCTCTTTCAGTAATATTCGTTAATTACAGTTTTAACTGTGCACCTCCCTCTGTGATGGCCCCAATCACAAACAGCAGGAAACCATGGGTTTTCCCGCTTCGGTGTTTCCAGCAAAAGTGGGTTCCACCAGGCCGGGACATCTCCGTCCCGGTCGTGTCCGCAGCGCGTGTCCCCGTCGCCAAGCGGCCCTGGCCGCCGCTGCTCTCCTTTCCCTTGGAGGACCACGTGTCAGGGGATGGCCCCTTCTCAATTGTCTTAGTTTATATTTCTTCAGTCTTCTGGCCTTTGAGGGCCATGATATAGAATCAATCAGGTGCATCTTACAGTAAGTGAAAATTTAATCTGAACTTCTTTTGCTCAGGACCTCTTATTTCCTTCAGATCCTGGGTCTTTATCAAACACTGAGTCAGAATCCCAGAAGAAATAATCTGTTTTATTATTCAATAATGAGATATATAGGTAGACCTATTATTTGACTTTGAACTTGCTGGTCATTTCTGGTTGAGTATGATGAACAAATGAACTGCTTCATAATACGACAATGCTTCATGAGAATAAAGAAAAATCAGTCTCAATAACAGGATAGACTTTTAATGTTTTACTGGACAAATATGGTGACTCCTTTCAAATGCATATCAGGACCCCTTCCAAACAGTGAGCTTATGACCACAAGCTCTACCTTTCTCTCTCCTGCTGGGTATGGTGAAGTCTTGTCTCTACCCGCGGGATACAAGGTGCTTCCTCTCTTACTGACTACAAAGCTATTCTTAGAAGGTGTCTTGGGTTGAACTTGTGCGTGTGTGTAAAAGAAAGCCTATGATTTTGAAAGCTTAAGAAACCTGTGTCCGGCCCGCAGGTGCCGCAGGTGCTGCAGGTGCAGCGGAGCTGGGAGGCGGGCGCGGCCCGCAGTCACCGCGCCGGGCGTGGGGACCCGACTCCGGCTCCGGGCAGAAGGGCGGGACCCCACAACTCCTCCCGCGCGTGGACCTACGGAAAGCCCAACCAACACCGGCTTGTCTGGGAAAGCCGGGGCGCGGGAACCCTTGGCCTCGACCCCCAGAGCCGCAGCCAGCCGGTCGGAAGGGAAAGCATCTCCGACTTTCCAAACCACGAGGCGTCGGCCACCGCGCCCCTGCCAACCTCCAGCGCCGGGGCTGGGCGGGGCCGGAGACGCATCCCGTCCCGGGGTCTGGGCGGCACCGGCCCGAGGCGCTCCACGCGCCGCCGCCCTGGCTGTCCGGGACACTGTCCGGGTTCTCTCTCTGTCGTCTGGTCCCCTCTTATGTGCCACCCCAGGCCGTCTCCCGGGCCCGGGTGTCCGGCTTCCCCCCTCCCGCTCTCCCCTCGCAGAATCCCCTTCTGTATTTTTTTCTTTTCTCCCCACTGGCAGTCCCTCCCACGTCCCCTCTAGCTTCGGTACGACCTGGGAACTCCCTCACTCCCCCCACCGTCCCGACACCCCGGGGCGGACGGGGCTGCCGCCGGCCCTGACACCGGCGCTGGCACACAGTTGGCGCTCAGGAGCGGCCGAATAAGAGCATAAATGAGCAAATATTAGACGCACCCTACTGGACAAAACACGGTAGCTTGACTAGATCCTGGAACTCGACCCACAAGCATTGACCGAGCGCCACCCCCGTATAGGGTCCCCCGCAGAGATGACCCTGGAAGGAGACAGCGTCGTCGTGGGAGGACGGTAGGGTCTGGAACCCGTCTCAGTGTTCGGGTTACTTAATGCGTGACTCTGGGCCTCCTGGTCCGATCCTGAAATGGGGCGAGACTGACCTCACAGGTCAGCCGCGAAGACTTGGGGAGACAGTTACACTGAAAGCTCAAAGTGGCGACGAGGCGCTGGTAATACAATTCCGGACTAAACCCGTAAGTCGGAGGTCCGGATTTCAATGTCCCGACACGCAGTGACTGAGTCCACAGACACCTTGTTCTCAACGCGCAACGCGGTGCACGGCTCAGCCCGCACAAGTGCACGGGGATCGCGCCTTCTCCGCTTTTACCTTCTCATCTTAACTTCCAGAGCCCCGGACAGTTGTCATCCGAGAGCGCGCTTTCCGCACAAGACGGATCGCTGGCGGTTCCCCTCTCCTGCAGCGAGGACCCAGCGGCAGTACAGTACCCGAGGCCCGTGCGCCTACCCAGCGCGGCGCTGCCGGCAATGCAGGGGGGGGGAGGGGGCGCAGCTGGAGAGCGTCCTGCACCCGAGGCGGAGCGGCCAGCGGGGGCGGGCTGCAGAAGCCCGGGCCACTCCCGTCGTCAAGCCCCTCTCCCAGAAGTTCTTCCAGAAACAGCCCTGGGCCGGAGTGGCTCTCGCTGGGAACGAGGCCGCGCCCGGCCGGGGAGGGCAGCTCCTGAAGGTCCCTCAGGAGCACTTGAGCTGCCAAAGACCCCCGTGGGGACCGCCCCCGCCCTTCCTGACCCCACCTCTGCTCCAGGGCGGGGACGGCGTTCTGCGGGGCAGAGGTCCGGGAGGAAAGGCGCCCCTTCCCGGCAGCCAGGTCCCCCGTCACCCGAGCAGAGCGCGCAGCCAAGGGCCGCGCCCAGGCATGGCAGGTTAGAAGGGCGCGGGCCTGGGAACGCCGGGTCAGGTTGGATTTCAGAGAGCGAGGGCGAGGATGAAGCAGGCAGCGGGGACAGGGGAGTAGAAGCCACGTGCAGCGACGGTGTCTCCAGCGGTCTGACTGCTTGCACTTCTCCTGGGCTCGGGTTCGGCCGGGCTGTCCCGGAACTGAGCGCTGACAGCCTCCTGCGGGCGCGGGCGCAGCGCGAGCCGAGGACGGTCTGCGCGCCGGGAGCCGGGCTGGTGAGCTGGCTCCTTCATCCTTCCTGCACGTGCATCGGGGCATTTACCATCCCCAGGCGTTCGACACCCGCTCTCGTCAGCTCGGGGCCGGGGACTCAGCTGTCGAGGCTCAGGGGGGTGAGCCGTCAGGAGTGGACCTTGGGCCGAGGGTCGAGACTCAGGGTCCGAAGCGCTATCCTTGCGGGGGCTCTGACCCGGGCGGGATGGGACGGCGGCTCCTGCGGACGCCACTGGAGAGCAGGGTCAGAGGGGCGGGTCCCCGCGTGAGGACGCGGTCACACTGGACACCGCATGTGCACCGGGCAGCGGACCCGTGGGCACAGAGAGGAGTCTTCCTCTCCCGCGCACAGTGCCTGAACTGCGCTCTCTGCTCATCTCCGAAGTGACTTTTCCTCCTTCTTTTCTTCCATTAACCTTCCTCCCTCTTTCTTTCTCTCCCTCCCTCCTCCTCGTCCCGCCCCCCCGCCTTTTTTTTTTTTTTTTAGCTCTGGAGTTTTCTGAACATCGGTTTCCAGGACACAGGACTTGAAGTCAAAAACTCCTAAATCCAAGTTGTTACAACTTACCTGCGGTGTGATCCTTTATCTGCTCTCGGCCTCAGTTTCTTCACCTGTAAAACGGGGATAATACAGGGTTACTGACAGTGTTTGTGAAAGCTCCTCATATACTTTAATGAATTGTGAAATATTCTAAAGTCATAAGTGGGTGAAAATGTTAAAGATAAAAGGATCGAGCTTCCTAAACCTTCCTCTCCTGGAGCTTTCCTTGGACTATTCGAACCTCTGGAGAATCTCAGTGGCTCTGGGGGGAAGGGGAGAGGGGGAGGCGGAGGGAAACCGGGCGCACACCCCGCCTCCGGCTCCGCACCCGCGGCAGACCCGGAGCTCCGAGCGCCCAGGGCACCCAGGCAGCGCTCGCGACAGTTTGGGCAGGTGTTCGTTGTCGCTGCTTGTCCTTCACGCTGGGCTGGAGGCTGAATCATTACCATCACCGTGGTCGCTCTCACTGATTTGTCTGCTCCTGACTGACAGTTTTTGCAAAGCAAGCTCCCTGTCTCCGACTGTCCCACCTCACAGGACCCTCTGCGAAGCTGCTGGAGTTCAGTACGGAGTGGGGCCGCGGCTGCAGGTGGCAGAGCAGGGACCCCCGACAAGCGCCTCTTACCCTTACACCTTTGCTGCCGCTTCCCGTCGCCCAGATGGGCTCCCAGCCCCCCAGGAGAGCCCCAGGCCCGGGGAAGGGCTTCTACCTGCAGCTGTGACTGCCCTGCCCTTTGCCCTCTCCAGTCTGCTCTCCCACGTTCCACTGGACCTTTCTTCAGCCTAAGTGCGCCTGAAATTCAAGGCGTGTCCCGGACAGGGCAATGTGAAAAGCAAGCGGGCAAACCGTGTTGGCCAGGGATGAGGTGCCCGCTGGAGAGCCAGGGGGCTTGGCCATGGCCTGCCGGCCCTGCGCCCCCACCCCCCACCTTGCGGCTGGTCCAGCGACCAGAGGCTCCCATTTCCCTACAAGACGCTGCACTCAGAGTTCCTCTTTTCTAACCCACAGAAATCTCTTCAGTCATTTAGGAGAAATCAATCGAGGTTCCTCACTTAGAATAACTTTTGGGGATTAAGACAAAGAGCAGGGATTTAAGATGTACCTGTAGGCTTCACTGAGCCAGCTGAAGCAGGCAGAACCCAAGGACACTTGGACAGTTTCACAGGATCGTAAGTTCAATAGTTTTTCTACATGAAACTAGGAGGAAAGGAAAAGGGTTTTCAGGCTAGATTGCTACTGAGTGTGGGTAGTGTAAGACTCCTTATAACATCAAAACCCTTTTGTAAGAATGGCTTAACAGTAACAAAATTCTGAAGTACAGAAACCCAAGTTTTCCTGGGGCTCTCCAGATCAGCCATTCCTAATTACTGCAGAATCCCCCTGTACACACACATGACTCCCCTGTCATTTGTCACTGATTAATGATGTCTCCCCCAATGAATGCCTGGAAACTCCAGGGTGGGAAGAACAGACTTGGAGCCAGAAGCCAAAGTCGAGTCCAACCTGCCTCGACTGGCTGTGCAGATTTTAGCAAGTCACTTAACTGGTTAACTCACAGGGTCAAGAGCCTCACTGAGGCCCCATGAGATAAAAGGACGTGCCTGCGTTCTGTGCACGCAGTCCTGAACACCATGGAGATAAGCTAATGCTCGCTGTATGATTTGTGTGTGCTTCTCCCCAGCACTGGGGGCCAGGCGACCTCCAAGCCCCAAACCAACCTTTTCTGCATTAATTTTCTCCCACTCTGCTTGACAATTATCAGGTTTCCTTTAAGGGAACATGCTTATCCGATAACTGCACAGAAGTGACCTTTATTTAATTGGTGAGAAGCTAAACTTTCAGATAAATTTCAATGGAAAAACCAATGAATTGAAAAAAAGAAAACTAACAGTGGGTTCAAGGGGGTATATTTCTTTCTCTTTACCCTGTTGCCCCTTCTTTCCAAATGCCTAAGAGGAGAAAGTGAAACTGACCAGATATTACCTACAATCATACACCAAGGGAAATAAGTCTTTTCCGAGGTCATTGTACACATGCCTGATTTATGGGTAAACTGTCACTGATGACTGACGTGAGACAGGGCTGATAGAGATCTCATCACAGAGAGCTCTTGTCATCCAAGCTGAGGATGCTTCTTATTTGTTCAGTTTATGAGATTGTTTTAATGGGTGGACTTCAAACTACTAGTATTTTATGTTCTTTTTTAAATAAAATGCTTATTGAAATATAGCATACCTACAGAGAAGTGCACTGAGTTTTCATGAAGTGAACACACCTGCAGGGCAATGCTCAGATCATGAAACAGAATGTCACCAGCCCTGCTATTTTTAAGGCTCCCCCCACCACTAAGTTGTAAGATCTCTTAGAGCAGAGACTGAGCACCATTCTCTTTTAAAGTGTAGTGTATTGACAGAAAAGTCCAGGTACAGTAAAGCCAACAGACCAGGAGACGATTACCATTGAAAAGATAGTTTGTTACTCACAGTTCCCAAGAAAAGGGAGCACTCCATGCCATGGGGAGGGGGCGCACACAGGGAGGCCCTGGGTTTTGGTCAGGAAGCAAAGGGAGAAGGGGACTGCGCCAAGACCCTTCATTGTCGTTTCCATGGGAAGGAGCAGGCTTAGGATTGGCTGGTGTAACTTTAGTGGGTTTGGGGTATATGGACCGTCCCTAGTGGCCTGGTACCCAGCCCTGGGTTGAGTAGAGCAGGTGCATAGTGATTGAGTGTGACAGCCTGACAAAGGAGGTGGGCAGGGGTGGGCTCTGGATGGACTGGTTTGTATTAGAAAAGGGCACTCACAGGCGAGTTGCTTACTGTCTCTTAAGAATTGGCTCACCCTGGGAGGGGCAGTCCCTTCAGGGTCAGCAAGGCCCCAGATGTCAAAGCATCAGGATCCAGACAATTGAAGACATGGTTAATATACACTCGTCTTTGACACTCCAGGACCTAAAATAATGCTTTGCACGTAGCAGGCCCTCGATGAAGGGGAAAGATAGAAGGAAAGAAGGGAGGGAGGAGGAAAGAAGGAAGCAGCATGCAGTGGCTGGCTGGTCGAGGAACAAGAGGGGTGCCTTCGACAGCCTCACCTCCCACAAGCACTGACGTGAGCTGCCCAGAGCAAATAAAGGAGTCGAGCAAACATAGCTTCTTATTTCTGCCCCACTTGGCTCATGTCTCTGTTCTGTAGCTCCTAGACTTACGTTTGAAAAGTGGACTTGTCTCAGCAGTCTTGGTCGTCCTTTTATGCAGACTTCACTGAAAAACATGCCCCTCATTCAACACGTTCACTTAGACTGCATACCTAAATTGGCCCTTGAATCTTTGCTCCACAATTCCGCTAGTATCTGACAGTAACTTGGGAAGGAATGTGCTCCTGTCATTTTTTGCTATGTGCAATAAACCACCCCAAACTTAGTGGTGCAAACAGCTATGATGATGCTAATTGACTCGTGGGCTGGGAGGTTGGGAAGTGCGCAGGGAGGATGGCTTGTGTCTGAGGTTTCAGCTGGAGACATGGATGACTGGAAGACACTTGAATGGCCAGGAGCTAGAATGATCTGGAGGCTTTCACCTGTCTTGCACCAGGGCTGCAAAGGTTGGGCTAAGCTGGGATTATTGACTGGAGTGTCTATGCTTGGCATCTCCATATGGTTTCAGCTTCCTTTTATCATGGTAAATGGACTCAGAGTAAATGGACTTCTCACATGTCAGCTCAGGGCTCCAAGAACGAGTGTTCCCACAAGCAAGGTAAAATCTGCATGGCCTTGCTGTCTTAGGCTCAGAAGTCACATAACGTCACCTCTGACCTATACTCTACTGGTCAAAGCACTCACAAGTCTGGCTAGATTTAAGGGGAGGGAACACAGACTACCAGCTCCCAAAATGGGGAGTGTCAAATAATTGTGGCCATGTTTGAAACCTACCATGAGGTGTGCGTTGTGTGAGACGGTGGAAGTGAGAATGCCACAGGCTTACAACTGACAAAGCTACTAAATAACTCATGACACTCCTACCCCAAGGCCAATGTCGAGGCACAGAAGTGTGTCACTCTCCTCCTCTCACCTTCCTTTCAGAAATATTGAAACCTTACACAGTGCCATTTCTTTAAAAGCGTTTTCAAAGTTCCTCCAAAGAAACTAATGGAAATAGGGTAATAATAATTTCACTTTTAAGATGGAGAATGCTGAGGCACAAGATGTGCTTAGAGCCATAAAGTAATTTAAAGGATGGGGCTGGGGCTGGACATTAAAATTGTATTTGGGGAAAAAAGCTTACTGAGTATGGGTCCACATCTGGAACTGGAATCTGTAGGGCTTTATTAGAGGGGGTAATTGAGAGCATTTTGAAAAGAATTTTAAGTGAAGGCAGGGAAATGGTTCCTAAGCCCTTCGTCAAATGGCTTTTCAACAGAAGTCATCCCTGCATTGCTGACAGTGGATCTAGTCAACACAGTGTGTGGAGCTGTGCTATTCAGTCTTGTTTGCCTGTGTAAATACAATTTTTATGGTGCTTTTAAGCATCCCATCCCATTTCATTTTCAAACACCTCATAAGCCAGGAAGATACACTTTTATTGCCCTAATTTTGCAGATGAAGAACGGAGGCTCGTAGGAACTAAGTGACAGCCAGTGAGCAGCAGAACCGTAAACATGTCTCAGTCCAAGGCTCTCTCCAGGATTTCACTCACTGACTAATTCTCCACAAAATTTAGGCCTTTAATGAAATCAGGTTGGAACCAAACGAACAATATCACGTGTAAGAAGAAAGTAAGCTTTAAATTACAGAAACGTCCACTTCTGCCCATGACGGAGTAACAGACACCGTATTTACTCTCCCACCATAAACAACTATAAAACTGGACAAAGTAAGTAAAACAAGAGTTTTCAGACATTGTACCACAGACAGTGCAGGACAGTAATACTGAAAAAGAGAAATGAGGTAAACCCAGTCAGTGCCCCTGACCACTGCCTGGGGAAGGTTTCCAGGCCATAGCACAGGAAAGGGAAACTAAAGCACAGGCCAAGATTCCTGAGTTGAAGAGACAGAGTTCTGA